GCGAGGTAGTGTTCACATCTTGCAACACGGCAAATTTATTTATTTATTAGAACACTCAAAGGTGTGCTGAAAGAAAGTCAGATAACCTTGAAAAATATGAAGCCAGCATAATATTAAACTGTAACATAAAAAGAACTGCACAGGGGCCAAAAACTGGAAGTATAAGCCGCTGCTTAGACAGGTTAAGTTCCCACATTATTGCCGACGTGTGGACTGAGAAAGTGTCTACAAAAGTAGAGGACCTTCACCTTTATCCATGCGTTGCCAGCTACCCTGATGGCACATGACAGCCCTACTGCACCCTCCGGCCAGCGTAGCAAAGTCTGATGGGGAAGGCTGGGCACAGCGATCCGGCTCAGACACTTACGGCGCCCTACCGCACCGCAGCGCTTAGCCCGTGTCGTCTTATCACTATGACAGGTTGAGCCCGAAGGTACCCTTTACCCGCAGAGGCGGCCGACAGAGAGGCCTGGGCTGGGGGCGGGGGGCTAGCCTGCGCTTGCACCTACTGCCGGCGCATGCAACACGTTTGGGCTTTGAAACCATGGCAGTTCTATCAGGAACCCGAAACATGATTAGACGAGAGGGTGGCCAGATCCTAGATCGAAATACTGAGAGAAACCATATCTAACGATTTTCCAAGAATGGAATTCCTTAGAAGTTCCCAAGTACCACTCAGCTGCTCCTCACATTCGACCACATTCTGATTATTCTTCACTGGAAAGTCTTATGATACTGAAGACGATTCTCGCGATCAAGTGATCAGCGAAATGTCTGCGTGCATTTGGGTCTAGGGACAACTAAAACTCAGCCCCTTTAATGGCGCCAAATTTCTGTTTTTCTCTGCGCTCTCACGTCTGCATGGCGTTCTGTGACTTCCCTGACCTTTCACAGTCCAACATTTCACGCATAATAAGTAGCTCATTCACCCCGGTGTCCTCTCCTTCCGAAAGGAATCGTCTCCTGGCTCGCGACATGTTCATACCTCTCATATCTTGGCCGGCCGCCGTTCTTTCTTTGTCTGCGCTCTGACCTTTCGCAGCAGGACCCACCAAAAGTTCTAGTTGTCACGTAACGTGCATTTGGGTATCCAGGTCCGCACCCTTATAGCGTGTAACACTTTCGTCTCTCGAAAGAGCTAAATAAAGCGGCCATGGACTAAGGACCCATACTCATTTTGTTCTTTTCAGCCTGCAAGACAACGACTTACACGGTGAGTTACGTGTACGCATTCTGATGCCAGCAGCTTCGTAGGACGACTTCATGTGCTTGTCGGAAAGGAATACAAGCTAATGAACTCTTTTGCTATCTTGATAGTTGTTCTGCTGTCAATGGACACCTTTCCTTGAAAAAAATGGCAAGCAATAGGAGCCCATTTGTAAGGCTGGATACGTTTCGACCTGCTGAATTCAAAAGTGATACAATCGCGCTGGTCCAGAAGCTCGTATTGCAGTCTCACTGCGGTTCTGATTCCATGAACAATTTTCGGTTTTTCTCGACTTTCAGTGTTTTTTTCATTAGAATCATTGAGAACTGCGAGATGCGATGAAACGATTTGCGAGTCATGGTTAAGGAACGAGGAATCAGTAATGGTGTCCGATTCTTGCAGGAAGTACGGCGCAAACTCGTCGTGTCTCGTAGCAAACTCCAATCGTAATGCCAATATCTTGTTTTATTGAACATTTCGTAGAAACTGGAAAATTAAACAAAAGCTATTAAATTCTCACATAAAAATTTTCTGAGCACTTGTAAATAAATATGTCTGAGCTATACGCTAGCACTAGATCAGACAACCGAGAATAGGAGAATCTGCGCCAAAAGACTAGATAGAATCGATCGACTCCTTTAGCCAACATAGCTGAGGGAATAGGAGAATAATGAGTGGAGAATATGAGAACCGGGTAGTCGGAATCGATCGATTCCCATCGAATTTCTAGATGAGAGAGATTTCTTCTTCTGACTCTCAGCATTAATCACTTCATAATTCGTATAGTAATCAAATTCTAATACGATTCATTAGCACCACACAAAGTTAGGACGAGACCTATAAAGCAGAGATGCACGCGAACCAACTACCGAAAGTCAACTGAAACTTCATAATAAGTAGGCAAAAAGGGGAGAACCACCGAGAAAGACATAAGGTATGAAGGTATATATGTACGAAAACAGTAGTCCATGAAGTAATATATGTAGACAAAAAAAGTGAAGGCCCGCTAGGCGATAGTTGGAACGGCCCCTATTTGGGGGAACAGAGTAACAAACGGTTCGCAGGCTTAGTCAGAATCGAAGGGCGCGCACTAAACCGCGATGCCTTGCTCGAAATGACGAACATATCACTCAACGGTAGCACTATTTCTCATGGCTACGCAACTTGATCGACCCTACTGATTGATATATGATCGCTCTTCGATCCTGCTCGCATCAGACCCTGAAAAGCAAAGATTTGTATTTGAGGCTAGGTACAATATATTGGTACAGGCGTTCATACTTGCGGTAACGACGCTTTGGCGCCACGGCGTTGACGCGAATCGGATGCATCCCAAAGAGCATGCGCATCGATCGCGTCGACGCACGATCGAATCGCTACCGTCCCGAAGTCTAAACGCTGCCGTACCGGCAGATTGGAGGAGACGGACAAGAGAATCGCAATTTGTCGCTTCGCCGCGCGCTGCGATGGGCGCGGCTTTATCTTAATTCTGTTAATCTGTTGATTGTTTGAGCACCGCATGATGGTGGACCGCCCGTCATCGTAGACATTCACGCCCTTATTGTGGTGTGGATTGTCTGTTTTTGTGGCGGTCGGGGGGGAGGCTACTCGGCCTCCGTCATTCGTGAGGCGACGTCGCAGCGACGCTCACCAGCACCGCGCGAAATTACGATTTCTTTTGTCAGCATAATGCCTGGCAATGAGCTGCGTTCATTACTTTAGGTCCAGGGTTCGTAAGCGACTAGAAAGTATCAGGATGTCCTGTAGCACTTCTGAGTGCATCGCAGCGTCTGCGACGCACTGTCCGCGAAAATTCAAAAATATCAAATCAAACGCTGGTGTTTGCTCGGAACGGTACCTGTACTTCCAGTCGTTTGAAACGCTGACGTACACTCGAAACTCTCAAACACTCTCTTCACACAGAACTCTGACGCAAAAGATGAACTCAGTTCTACTGTAGCTTTTGCGCCAACACTGTCTTTCTTTCAGATAGCACTTTCAGGTTCGGTGAATGGAGAGTCAGTAGCATTAGCAAAAACGATTCAATCATTTACCCATCCATTATAAAGAGAAGAAATCCCACGCTACCGAAGTTTTAGCTCTTATTTTAGAGTCAAAACACCCAAAACTGGTCAGGTCCATACTTTTTCGTACTCACCAAAAAAATGGACATGGACAAAGAAGATAACAGTTAGGTGATCCATTTTCTGAACTACACGTTGGATGGGGTCAAACCTACCAGCTTATGCAAACAACTTTCATTTTTCTTCCGAAAGTGCTTGGAACGCACCATTTCTAGGAATGGTGCATGAACAGCACCGGTTTCTTCGCGAGAAAAACAAAAACGACTGAATTAAACCTTACCCCGCTTTAAGATCTCGATATCCTTAACACGTTCCATTGGATTAGGAGCATGAGGTCGTTCATCTCGCCGACAGCCTTTCGTTTTGGTGATCTTGGACCGGCCGCGAAGCCTTGTATGCCTCGAATGCACTGCTCAACTGAAAGTTGTGGTAAAATTGAAAGTCGGCGGAACGAGAAAAAATATCAGTTGTCACACTTACGGCGTCATGAATTGTGTCTAGTTCGCTTGCTTTCAAGACAAACATCACATCTTCCACATTTACTGTTTTTCGTTTCTTCGAGGCTGCGTGTTCTTCTGCTTGCGATAAAATGTAAAGAATGAAGACAGAGCAAGCACGCATCATGTGGATTCGTGCATCCTGAAACTCATTAAAATTTACATATCGATTACAATATATAGACTTGCAACATGACTCATGGTCTCACTTAAAGACGCATTACGTAAATGCTTCGTAGATACAGCCAGAATCTGAAAGCAGCAAGAGGCAAGGTTGCGAGCTACATTATGCCATCTCCCATAGAGCGGCACAGGCGTACCTCACGTTCACTGGCGCAAATGCTGTGGCGTATCACAGGTTGAGTTCTGCGCGGCGCCAGCTGTTTTTCTACCTTGTTGAAGCGGAGCAAGTGACAACAATTGTCAGAAAACAAGCTGACGCTGCGCGAAACCCAGCCCAACTGACACGCCCTAGCATCCGCGGCGAACAAACCTGTTTATAGATGTAGGACAGAGTCGGCACAGAAGTATAGAACGACGCAGCCATCGCCAGTACTCTCCACTTTGCTCTCTGATAAGTACGATATTCCGAATAATAGAACACCAGAAGCTCTGACATAAGCCTGACCACGCCTTCTTCAGTCCAGCTAAACCCATAACTATTCCGATGTACGCCTTTAGTACTTGTGTCACCTGTGTGTTCTTCTCCGCGTCCCTAGCGTCTCTTTTCACGTTGAGACGGTCTTTAGGACCACGCGAAGTCGCGTGCGCGGCAATCTGCAATTACCTGCGGCATACGCTTGCAACCCACAGCAACCCACTGCGTTGTGTTTGCGTTGTTCGTAAGGTTGTGTTCGCTTGAATTTTCAGTGGCGCTCTTCACTCTGGTAGGAGCTGGATTTTTTATGGGCGTGAGATTTTATTTTAAAGAACTGGAGTGATTACATAGCAGCTATGACATATATAGAAACCTCCACAGATTACTCGCAATCTAATTCAGCTTACTCATATGACTCCTTCGTCCTTATGACTGTCACAGTGCTTTCTCTACAGCATACTCCCAGGGACTGTACCTATTGTCGTATTGTTGAGGTACGGCGGACTGTCTGTGGAGAAAAGAGCAGCTAAATATCCCTGTCGCGATAACAGAACCATCTCGAGCGCACCGCATGTAACCATACGGTATTTGTGCTTGTCGCGCGCGACGCCGCGTGGTCCTACCACCACATACCTCATTTCATTATAGTGTAGTTCGCTGCGGACGGTTGGTGCGGCTGCGTTTGGCGCGGTGCCAAACTCGTTCTACACCAGTTGTTGAAGCGGGCAAGTGACAATACTGTATCATATCCTTCGTATTACTCGTCTTCTACCACTTTTTGTCGCATGCGCTCTTCAACAAGAAGGCAGAGAACGGCTTTGATAGGGTGACACACTCATACTGGCTGACACGCCCAACCGTCCGCAGAGAACTAGTGCACATGCTCGTCAAGAATGAGAATGAAATGAATGAATGAGAATGCTCGTCAACGATGATAATCAAGCGGAAATCATTTTGGGAAATTTCGACCCGTTCTCCCAATTTCGTCTGCATTTTCCCTCAATGGTATGTCCTCAAACTAAGAAATGCAGCGAAGAAGTCGTTTGCACGGCATAAATCTGAGTGAACTGAGATAGTCTCGCAAATTATAGATCTGTGCTGTGTGAGGGAAAAGTGAAGTCCTTCATGAAACAGTAACGTTGGAATACTAGTCCAATCTAGCTCCCAAACAGACTTTACTTAAAAGCTTTGGTAGCATAGTAACAATAAAGTTAACTTCTGCATATGTCCACAAAAGTTTCGGTGCTAACGTATTTGGGGGGGGGGCCACGCGGCTCGCGGCGAGTGATGACTCATCGACTCTTCTGCTTCCTCCTCGGCAAAATAGAAGTAACCTCATGTTTAAGACATGGATATAACACCGTCCTAGCTATATTTGAAAGCTTAAGCAGTTAACGCTGAAAAGTGCGAAGAAACAGTTGTAGGCTGGAAGATTTTGCCTAAAATACAAACGATTGTTGCCTTTTTGTTGATTCTTGACTATAAAAGATCAAATATTTGTTGTTTTCAGCTTCTGTGGGATTTCTCAGCAAGTATTCGGTGAATCTTGTTTGTTTTATTCTAATTTTGCTGCTAGATTAGCGCTCTAAGTATGTCAATGAGTGAAGAGCCGATGAGTCATCACTCGCCGCGAGCCGCGTGGCCCCCCCCCCCCCAAATACGTTAGCACCAAAGTTTCCATTACGCCTAGTGGATTAATTCCAAGTACTTGAAGTAACTCAATGAAAAAAATGAATTACCTTGGACAAAGCGGCACCACTGGGGAGAACAGCTTTCATAAGGCGATTCAGAACAGCCATAGGCAGTCGAAGGTCATCGATTTTGGGATCACTCATGATCAAAACTAGTAATAGATATTGAAGTAAAGCCACTGAATACGCAAAAATAAAAAGTCATTGAAAGCAGAAAAACCACCGCGATAAAACATGTGCTGTTTGAAAAATCATTTCTCGCGCTTTTATCAAGGATGCGGACAATACACGCTAAAAGACGGCTTTTCAGTGAATGCATTGAAACCTCAGATTGCTTGAAAACCTGATGAAAAGGAAACCACACCTTGAGGTGTATGGACAGATACCAGTCAGTCCTGCCATCGACGGAATTTCCGCTAAACATGACCCACCCAGGATTTCCTCCTCTGGTAGACTCCATCCCCTCCCTTAGTCTGTCTACCCTATTCCTCAATTTTGCCAACTTCCTACCACTTCTACGCATTTTTTCTGGAAATGTTCTTCTGGAAGTTCTCCAGTTCTTCCCGGAAAAAGTGCCTCCTAAAGGAGACGGTGTGCAGCGCACTAAGACGGGAAAACCAATACGCGAATAATTTGCTCTGAAGCAAGTACATCCTCCATCCTTCCAGCGACCAAAGAAAGCCTCCGTCGCTGAGAATCCTCGACCTGCCCTTGTTGTGATGCTTCTGATTCTGGGCTTTAGAAATTGCCCCATTTTTGCTGAATACAAAAGCGCATGGGTGCTAAGTGTTAAATGTGCTTTCAGTTTCCATTTGAGAGCGATTGGTACATTTTTTCAATTGTGAAGTTTCTCGCGATTATATTAACGTTGCACAGGGTACATTAAGACCATCTATCAAAATGCTTTTATAATGCCCCTCCAAAAAGCATAACAATACATTTCATCACATCACTTCAGAAACTGTCTAATCTAATGTTTGTACAGTTAATTTCACCACAACCAGGCGGGTAGCAATCAGCTGACCCGCGGCATTGCTACCAATTTTTGTTTTCCTCCTAGGGCCGTATGCTATACTTCCCTTCGAGGGGAGATATCCCCCTAGTAATTTTCCACCTCTCTGCTCTTATCTCTGGGGAGATATCCCCTAGTAATTTTCCACTCTCTGCTCTTATCTCTGGTGACGCTCTCTCGTCTCTCTGGCTCTCGCCGCTTTGCATCCATACTCTTTTGGCGCACGCTCTGTGCGAATAGTATAGAGTGAGGTAGCTACAGCGAATATAGTACAGCGCAGAGTATAATCGATAGCTTCCCTCTCCCAACACATGCCGTTGGGGGAGCCTCCGAGGTGACTGGGGGGAGCAGAGATGCAGCAGAGAGACGAGGAGCATTGATAGAGATAACTACAAACAGCGTGAGGTTTAGCAGGGATATCTTCCCCTCAGGGGAAGTATAGCACTATGGCCCCTTAAACTGATCGTGTCCGATCGCCATTGTTAACAAGCAGCCGCCAGGTAGGCTCCATGCGCCGCCTGCGCTCGCGCGCCCCTGCTGTCGTGACTTGCGTACGACCTGGAAGCGTCCGTGGTATGCGCCGTAACAATATCATGCTCCATTCGTCATCGTACCGTATCCAGTAGTTCAAACGATGCTGCCGACAGCTCAAACGATGGAAGAAGCTGGAAGCGCGGGAAGCTACTCTGCTTCTCTATACTCAGCCCGCGCGACCCGCCAGTCCTCAGTTGTTTCGTCATGTCTTCCTGCTGAGCGGCTGGACTCTCCATCGTCTCATCCCGGCCGAATGGGCCGTTATGCTACCACGTCACATCTTTCCTACCGGTATGTTGTGCTGTTCTAATCATGCCTTAACCTTCTCTATATTGTTCTCATCTATTTGGTAGTCATGTAATAGTCATTTATTCTATTGCATAATAGTATAGTCAATATGAATAGTTATTCAATAGTCTTCTGTCATGTAGCAATAGTCGGCACAACTATCGGTTACATATTTATTAGTCTTCTATTCTATCACCACGAATAGTAGCCATAGGCCTAACATAGGTTGGGTTAGGCCTAACATGCCCGTGGCGGGCCGGCAGGCATCTGCCCCTTGCTGAGCATTCCAATCGCGCGACACAACCCCACAAAAGGGTGTGGGCCCTTCCAATACCCACGTTCTGCGTGGTCGGGTATGGTAACCGCCGATGCATCTCATCTCTCTAACACCCGGTCACGACACTCCCCCCTCCCACAAACCTTCAACGAGCAACTCCTAAGTAGAGCTTTATACTTCGCGACAGCGCAAGCATCGCCCTTCGGACTCGGACGATCTAGCGATCGCCGCGATCGTCGGTACACGTCAGAGCGCGCTCAAACGCTATTACTTGGGCCGTTCCGAGTGCTGCTAGGAGAAATCGGCCTGATTTCGGTAGCCTTTTCTTCTTTAATTTGCCATGCTTCTGTATCGAAGGCTCCTTCTTCACTTAAGCAGAGATGGGACAAACTTTATGGTTGTTTTTCTATTTTCTTCTTCGCATTCAGCGATAAACATAAGCAGAAAAGCTTCGCGGAGTTCCATTGAGGGTAAGTTTCCTAGTGTTTTTTTTCATTCTTAGAGCTAATACATGAATTTGCGAAGTTTCGCCTCCTTGATGCATAATCCCTTTCTACCAGCTTCTCTAGATTCATGCTGTATATGTAGCCGATTAAAACATCAAAATCACAAAAGTTAACCACCGATTCCCACCACGGCCTAGGAATGCCGAAAAGTAAAATACGCCCCCCCCCCTTTATTTTCTTCCAACAACGAGCAAGTACGATCCCCTTTCCCCCCTTTCACA